CCACACTCACCGCAGGCGGCCCACACTCACCGCAGGCGGCCACACTCACCGCAGGCGGCCACACTCACTGCAGGCGGCCACACTCACCACAGGCGGCCCGGCCCTCACCGCAGGCGGCCACACTCACCGCAGGCGGCCACACTCACTGCAGGCGGCCCTCACTGCAGGCGGCCACACTCACTGCAGGCGGCCCTCACTGCAGGCGGCCACACTCACCGCAGGCGGCCCGGCCCTCACCGCAGGCGGCCCACACTCACCGCAGGCGGCCACACTCACCGCAGGCGGCCCTCACCGCAGGCGGCCACACTCACCGCAGCCCGGCCCTCACGCTCTCAGCCGCACTCACCCGTGCTCTCCCTCCTGGCCTTCTCACAGAGGTCCTTTCTCTCAATCTTGTGAAAGAGCCGGAGGGTCACGTCCCAAGCTTGCTCTTCCTGATAGCGCCTGAGCAGCAGGTCCGCGAGGCCTTCCCGCGTGGCTCTCTTCACCTCGGCCCAGGGGGTCCGCGCGAGTCCGAGCTGCAGACTCTCCTGCTTCAGGAGCGCCTTAAACCTTCAGAACTCCTCCTTTTGAAGTTCCTCCAGATACCACATAAGGCCAAAATCAGAAAAGAAAGATGACGCCATCTTGTTCCAGGGCAGAGATACCAATGTTCAGACAGAGAATTACAAGAAAGAAGGAATAAATGGAGCCTGCGGAAAGTTAATACAAGTTAGCAGTTACAATTCAGATAAGTACCAAGTCACTCAAGGAGCCCTAGTGGTGCAACAGCAAAGCGCTTGGCTGCTAACCAAAAGGTCAGCAGTTCGAACCCACTCAACGGCTTCATGGGAGATCTGCTTCCAGAAAAATTCCCATTACAGTTGATTCTGACCCACAGCGCCCCTAGACGACAGAGTGGAACTGCCCACAGGGTCTCGAAGGCTGTCAATCTTCACAGAAACAAAGCTCAAACTAAACTCACTGCCGTGGAGTCCATTCCAACTCACAGCGCCCCTAGAGGACAGAGTGGAACTGCACCACAGGGCTTCCAGGGCTGTTACCTTTATGGAAATAGAATAACACATCTTTCTCCCAAGGAGCAGATGTTAAGTTTGAACTGCTGACAGTAAAGATTATAGCCTAGGAAACCCTATGGGGAAGTCCTGCTCTGTCCTACACGGTCACTATGAGTTGGAATCGACTCAATGGCACAAAACGACAAGTGAAGGAAGCCAGTCTGCAAAGGCTACACAGTGCAGGAGTCCATTTATTTATGATACCTGGAAAAGAAAACCAGAGAGATGGCGAACAGATCCATGGCTGCCAACAATTCAGGGGCAGGGGGTTTTAACAGGTCAAGACCAAGGGCTTTTAGGGGAGTGAAATTATTCTGCATAACACTGTTAACGGTGAGTGGTGGGCACCCTTCATTCATCCATAAACCCCACAAAACCTACAACACATATGTTCAAACTAAAGCAAAACAAAGAAAACCATTAGGAGACTAGGGACCCAGGATGGCACGCCGACCGGAACAACCACCACGAAAACGAACCGTCTTACAAGGGCACGACGTGACGTCAGTGTAGGAACCAACAGCACGAGCCGGTGGGAAGCCAGCTTCTGTCTCCAGTGCAAGAAAACTGAGTATCAGTCCAACCTGCAAAAGCCAGAACCTGTGTACGGCAGAAACCTGTCAGAGAAGAAAAGTGCAGACTACTTTCCACCGAAGCAAGCACAGAAAAGCGGCCAGACTGCACCTGGGCACAGGCGGAAACCCTGCAGCAAAACAACGCAGTTAGTTCCACTGAGTTCTGGCTTTCACAGTCTCAAAGGAAGTCGACAGAAGTCTCAAAGTACACACTGCAAATGAAGACAGAACCGAGCCCCATGATTCACGGGTAACCAGGGTCTGCTCCAGAACAGCAGACCAGGCGATTTGGAGAAAAACGAGAAGTAAATCTTAACAGCATGAAAAACCTAAGAAAATAGGAAAAATTCATGAACAGTAAACCGTATGAAGGAGCCCTAGTGGTGCAATGCTTTAGCACTCAGCTGCTAACTGGAAGGCTGGTGGTCTGAACTCAGCAGCCCCTCCTCACAGGAACGATGTGGCAGTCGGCTTCCCTAAAGACTGACAGCCTGGGAGACCCTGTGGGCAGTTCCACTCTGTCCTCTAGGGGCGCTGTGAGTCGGAATCGACTCCGGGCAGTGGGTGTGGTTTGGGCTTTGCTTCCGTGAAGATTAACAGCCTTGGAGACCCTGTGAGCAGTTCCACTCTGTCCTCTAGGGGCGCTGTGAGTCGAATCGACTCCAGGCAGTGGGTGTGGTTTGGGCTTTGCTTCCGTGAAGATTAACAGCCTTGGAGACCCCGTGGGGCAGTTCCACTCGGTCCTCTAGGGGCGCTGTGGGTCGGAATGGACTCCATGGCAGTGGGTGTGGTTTGGGCTTTGCTTCCATGAAGACTGACAGCCTTGGAACCCTGTGAGGCAGTTCCACTCTGTAACACAGCAGGTTACCATGAATGGAAAATTGACAGATTGTATCTAACAACAAACAGAGCAGGACACAATTGCAGAGAGATGACTATGTGTGACTCTCAGTGACTTCTGGCAAGAGCTTCAAAGAGGTTGCTTTGGGTGAAAACCTGAGTGTGGTGCAAACACATCTGCTTCCCGAGGACCACCAGAGGAACGGACCCCAAAGCAGGGGCTCTTCAAGGGGCCCATCAGGCACCTTAGCACCACCTGGCCACTTGGTAGAAATGGGATTCCTGAGCCCTCCCTGTGGTTCACAACACTCGGCATTGATCACCATGGCTGTCAGACACCATGGAGTCGACTCCAACTCAGAGACTCAGGGACAACATAATACAGTGTTGTGTAGTCCCACCATCCTCCCAACTGCCCGCGACCTTAGGTCCAGCCTTGCAGCCATGTGCCAGTCCATGTCATGGAGGCCACCCTCACCAGTCCTCTACTTGACTACACACGATGTCCTCCCCTAGTGAGCGACCCCTCCTGTCGAGTGACCAAAGCAAGCGAGTCTGGCGACGGTTCACTGGGATCCGTAGGTTTCCAATGGCTAATTTATGGAAATGCAGGCCCTTCCTTGTAGTCCGTGTTTCTCTGGAAGGTGCCCTGAAACCTGCCCACCACGGCGGACCTTGCTGTGAATTGAAACCCTGGTGGCCTAGCCTCCAGCGCACCGCAAGGCACAAGCCACCACAGAGACCAACCGACAGGTGGGTGGGGGCTGTGCACGAGGCGGCGGCCGGGAATCGAACCCGGGTCTCCCACAGGCAAGGAGAGGCCTCTCCCGCTGCGCCAGCAGGCCTCTAGGAGACCCAGGCGCTCCCGTCGTCCTCACAGGCCCAGACTCCCTGGCGGGGAACTCACAGGCACAGCCAGCCTCGTCGCTCCACCTTGGAGTCGGAAAGACCTGGAACAGAGACCGGAAGTGGCCTGGTCGTGCAACACGTGCGAGCGAGCAATGCAACAGCTGTATCTGAATTTGGAAGGGAACCCTAAAGCACCGAGCCCTGCCTCCCGGGCCCCCCTGCCAGTCGGAGTACAACCGTGCCCCAGAGGGTTTCCAGTGGCTGGGGCCTTTCAGGACACTTCCAGGCCTTCACTCTGTGGGCCTCCAGGTGGACGCTGGCCGCCAACCTTTGTGTTAGCAGCTGACGCTGTTTGCCTACTCAAGGACTCCTGGAGTCTTCATAGATCCGTCTTAGGAACAGGGGCCTAATTACTGCAACCATCTCTCAACTGGTATTTAAACTTAAGCAACACTCTGGGCCATGCGTGAAGCATTTCTGGTTAGTTGAGGAAGCAGGCAGGGCAGAGGGGAGAACAGAAACACTCAAAGGAGCAAAGTCAATAATAAATGGGTAAGAGCAGCGCTCGCAGGAAGAGCTGCGGCCGACTCACCACTGCGGTCCTCCCGTAGGCCCTGCGCAATGGCGCCTGGATCTGGGAGGAGAAGGCCACGAGGCGCTGTGATTGGCCGGGGGCTACTCCCTTCTCATTGGGCCTTTCAGGACCACACCCAGAGACTGGGGGAAACCAAGCCTTTTTTTTTTTTTTTTTTGTAATTTTCCCACTTTGGGTGTTGGTCCCGCCCTCTCCCCCGGGGCAGCACGGAACCGAGATGCTTCTGAGTGGCGTCCTCGTTTAGGACAGCCAGGGCCTGGCCGGGAAGAGTGTGACCACATGGTTCCCACGAGAGACAGCAGGTGCCCCACAGGGTGCCCTGGGCTGCTAGAGGAGCAGGTCGCCACGTCTTTTCTCTCTGGGAGCGGCTGGCTGGGTTCCACGCCCCGACCTTTCGGTTAGCAGCTGAGCACTTAAGCGCTGCACCACTAGGGCTCCTTCCAGGCCCTGCTAATCCTCCCAAAATGGCTGGTTTAGCGAGCGGGGTGACTTCACCACCATTACTGTTTTTGCCATAAAGTTGGCTCTCACAGTGACCCCGTGGATGACAACAAGACATTGCCCAGTTCAGCACCATCCTGATGGCTGTGGCTACCTCTGAGTCCATCCTGGGGCTACTGCGTCCATGTCTGTCATTGAGGGCGCCCCCATTTTTGCTTTTCATCTCCTTTACCAAGCATGACGCCGTTTCCCACTGATTGGTGTTTCCTGAAAGCGTTTCCCGTGAATATTGGCTAATGTGGTTGTGAGAAGGGAGAACAGGTGTTAGGCTTTTTAGATGTGAGGCCGGTAATTCATCATTGAGCCTGGAGTGCACTCTGCCCCCAGCTTCCTTTTATACCCATTACGATCGTCTCTGAAATTCATTGAAAACTATAATGGCCCAGGAACTGCGCTTCTGTAGTCATGATCTTACAGCCCTTACAAGAATCCTTTTCATTGAGTCCTATTATTTTCTTCTTTCCTTGTGAAATAGATTGCATACATGGAGGAGTGTAGACACTTAATGGAATTTGAAGGAATAACCATAGTTACAACACAGACCTCTCTGGTTAGACCCAAAGATAAACACTACCAGTGCCTTGGCCAACCTGTCTACCTCGTGGCCACCTCACACCTGCTCTGCTCTCACTGGTTGTCATTAAAGTGGCTTTGTGTGAACTATTTCCTTGAATTTCCTTTTATTTTTCCCACTGATACATGTTCCCCTAAGATACCCCTCAATGCGATGGATTGGCGCAATATCACAACCCTGAGCTTGAACACGCCAAGGACCATGAGGACGGTTCAGGAGGGGGCGGCGTTTCCTTCTGTAATATGCAAGGACGCAGTGAGTCAGACCTGACTCAACAACAGTTAACAAGAACAAGAGACGCCGGGCTGATGTAAGTGTCAGCGTGCTCAGCTGTGACCCAAAGGGTGGAGGTTAAAGTCGGCCCAGAGGCATCTTGAAGAAAGGCCCGGGGAGCTAGTCATGAAAAACCAGCCCTTGGAGACCCTGTGGCGCCCAGCTCTAGTCCGACCCCCACGGCGTCATGATCGGGTGGAGGATCCTGGACGTCAGCTGGATCCTGGAAGGCCCATGTTGAGTGTTGCTTGCCTTTGAATTGCGGTGCATATACCCTTCCGTGACTCGCTTCCTTAATAACTGTTATGTCTCAGAGGTTCTTCAGTGTTGATTTTCTTTAGCTGTGTGTTACTTAGCCTTC